GCAGATCCCCTGGAAATGGGTGGCTGCCCTTTTGCCCCTCTGGGGATTCCAATGGGGAGCACTCGGTGTGTCTCCAGGCAAGACTCACCATTGCTCCCTCTCCATGTGCTCTGTAATCCGTGTTCGGCTCAGCTCGGTGGGCAGAGAGGAGCACGCTGCTGCCACGCATACAGAATGGGCTTGCTGGTGACAGCCAGCACGGTCCACGTGATGCTCATGAATGTGGGGCTAGGACAGGATGCAGCACCCTGGCTCGGCTCCTGTCCTGGATGGAGTCAGGAAAGCGATTCAAATGGAAATGGCGTGCTGCTGAATGAAAAAGCGGGTGTGAGAAGGCGTGAGAATAAAGAGGGAGAGATTAGAAAGGAGGAGGAGGAGTGCAGCTGGAGGGATGGGGAAGATGGAGAGCAGGAGGGGTACGGCAGAAAAAGGATGCTGGAGGAGGTGCAAAACAGAGGCATAGAGAGATGTGAGAGGGAAGGATAGCGGGGCAGAGGGGAGATCAGAAATGGGAGATACAGCTGTGGGGCTGGTTTGCATACTCAGTGGTGCAGCTCACCAGAGCAGTTTCCACCCTCTGCCATTGGGCAAAGATCTCCTTCTCCCATGGAGGGGGCAGGCAGCTTCCAAGGAGTGGGAGCAAGAGTACCCACTGCTCCCCTCTCCCCTGCTCCCTCAGCCCCCCGCGCTCGGAGGTGCCCGGATTCACCAGGGACATCTCCCCATGGTCTCTGGCACAGTGGGGTCCCTCCAGGGTTCCTCACAGCCCCAAAGGGCCAGTGGGACTGCAAGGAGCTGCTCCTCTGCGTGCTGTTTTGGAGCAGTTACATCCCAGACAGCTTTTGACATGCCATGATGTGACCCAAGGAAAATCCCCTTGCAATCCTAATACCTACCCTAAATCTCTCTGGATGCAAATTAAGCCAATTACTGCACAAAATATCCTTGGTAGACCTAAGAATAAATGATTGCTAATCTCTTTCTAGTGATTTTGCAGCATTTTAGAAGGCTTTTCTTGTATCCCTGCTCAGGCTTCTCCCTGCCAGCCCTGGACAGATTAGATTTGCTCTTCCTCTTCTTGCAGCTCATGCTCTTCAAACTTATAACCAACCCTGTAAGCATCTCCTTTGGACCTTTTCCTGTCTGGTACCTCCTCCTTGTGATGACCAGCTCAGATCTCTGGCTGAAATCCCCTCCAAGCCAAGCAGAGCAGCGCTGTGGCTGTCCCTGCCACCTTGCTGTCAATGCCCAGTGTGCCCTTGCCTTGCTGCACAAACCTCCCTAAACTGAGTTTATCCAGATGGCAAAAGGGAAATCTCAGACTTTGTTATTCAGGGAAACAAAACACACATTTTACTGCTGGAAAAGGAAATCAGGTGAGGGGCTTTTGATGTGTAGTCATCAGGTATTACTAAGGTAGAAAGAACTGTTGTAGTTTGATGAGCAGATCAAAACCACTTAATATGGGTCAGTTCAATGTGGCTCATCTGTTTCTCTCTGGTCCTTTGATGCCTCACTGGTGCTGGGGTTCACAAGCCAGGCATCCTCAGCTCGCTCCTCAAGTCATCTCCTGCACTGCATCGCCTGGGTCCACTGGATGGTGCAGAGGGGATGTGCAGGGATGCCTGATGGGGCCACCAGGAACAAGGCAGTGACTTCTCCGAAGGGTGGAGATGAGCACACAGGCTCCATAGGCAGCTCACCAGCCTCTGGGAGGTAGCACCAAGGTCAGGGATGCCAGGAAGCACCAGTGAAAATCCTCTCTGGGGAGACAAGCATTTTGGCAGGAATTGCTTCTGCAGACCATGCCAGCTGTCGTCAGGGCTTTGCTTATCCTCAGGGATTGTCATCACTTTGGGTTTGTGCATGGAGCACGTATTGCTCCTGTTGCTGTCAGACCAGGTTTGAAGGGATGTCGTGTGAGGGCTTTGAAATCCAGCTGGTGTAGGGGAAAGTAAGAGCCACACTGGACTGCCTGGGTGCCCCGGGACCCCCAGGCTGCTGGGGATGTTGGGAGACCCACTGTAATGAAGGGCTCCGTATGGCCCTTCATTTCCCCAAGCACCAGAAGGAGCTTGTGCGGGTAAGCAGGAAAGAAAGGCAAAGAGGAGGAAGCATCAAACAGGGATGTTCTTTAGATGCAATTGGCACATGCAGAAGCCCTGCCCCTGGGCTACAGCACTCATCTTCACCTGGTTTGAAGATACAAGGAGAGCTCACGGGTCTGACTCAGTGCCTAGTCCCATTGTTGCTCAGCCGATGGAGCAGGGGGCACATCTTCCCCCAGGAATGGGCTCATGCTGGGACCAAAGGGTGTGATGGGACCACTGGTGCATTGGTGCCTGCATTGGTGGCTCTGGGCTGCTGGTGGTGCCGGTGCAGTGCTACGGGGTAGCGAGCACAGGAGACTCTGAGCTGCGCTGTTGGCTGTGGGGGTCCAACTGGGTCAGTCTGAATGCAGGGACCCAGGAAGGAGCCCCACGCCTGTCTCTTGCTGTGGTGGGAGCTCCAAGGCTGTCAGAGTTAGCGCCTGCTCTTTTGCAGGTGGCGATGCCTTTTTGGGTTTTTGACATGATTGCACCAGCACAACACTGAAGAGGCTTTTTTTGACAGTGCTTCCTGCTTGTGCTTCAGGCTCTCCACCCCCTCAGTGCAGATGGGTTTCGGCTGCACAGAGATGAGCAAAACACTCGGGAGGGATCCCTGAGTGCTGCGCTCTGCCTGCCAGCCCCAGCCCTGCAACTCCCAGCCCTGCCCTTGCTGCCACACGTGGGCTCTGTGCTCTCAGCACAAGGGCACAGCAGAGGTTTCTACAGGTCCTTCTGTCCTCGACACCCACAGGAACAATGATGTTGTTACTCCAACTCTTTCGGCTCCTGGACCTTCTCTCTTCTTGGTGCTCCCCTGATGCACAGCTCTGGTGCTGGCTGGTTCTGATGCATGTCCCGGTTCAGGTGTTCGGTTGTGCTGGAATAACCCAGCACAGGGAAGCTTCCTCAGGGGTGCTAAACTTCCTCTCAGGACACCCGGAGGATGCCTGTTCCATCAAGGCATCCCTGTACTCCGCACATGAGGTCCAGTGAATGGGGAAAGAGGTGGCTCAAGGCCCCAGGGCAGCCTTGCTGTTTGCTAGGCTGGTGAGCAAAGGCTGCTCTGCTCATGGCACCAGCCCAGCAATGCAGCACTGAGGACTGGTCTCCCACAGCCAAACCTTCTGGCACCTGGGCACAGCGGGGGATGCTGCCCAAATGGAGTGGGATGGATTTCCTGCTCCCCAGTAAGTGAATGGGGGGGATATGGGGCAATAGCTAACCCATTCCCACAGCATCACTCATCAGCTGGGCTCCTGCAGGCTGCAAAATGCAAATCACATCCCTCACTGCTCCCTGGAGGGCTAAGCTTTGCCATGTACCATGGGTAGCTGATAGCTGTGGAGCTACTGACAGATGGGGAGAGGGAAGATCTCCCCTGGGAAGTGGGGAAGGCTGCACCAGGTTAGTGGTGCCAGAAAGCTGCTCACTGTTCCAGCCTGGGCTGCACATACATCCTCAGGTCTTGGCTCTTGAATTATGTGGACACTCAAGGCTGTGCAGCTCCAGCCTGCTTCCCGGATACAGGAGTGAGGAGAGGAAGCAATTAGCTCTGCGGCTGGATGTCTGATGAATCATTCCACCTGCAGGCTCCAATCCAGATCCACCACAGGCAGCAGTGACATCCAGGGTGCAGGGAGCAGGGACAGGCCCCAGGGCAGCTGAGGAGGGAGGTGGCAATGGAGTTATGGCCAGGATCACAGGCAGGAGGGGCCATGTCAGACATCATTTTTCACTGCCCCACTTTGCCATCAGCTCCCGGGATGCAGAGGCTGTGTCCCGACACTCACACTGCAGTTGTCTCACAGCCAGAGAGCTCCCATGGGCAGATGTGACTGCCTGGTCAGGCTGGTGATACATCATCTGCTATGCACCACATCTGGCTCAGCAGGATCTGGAACAGGAGATCGCTACAGCAGAGCCTTGCCAAGGAGTTGTGCCAGCGACTGGGCTGAGAAATGTTGTGAAAATGGGTAAAGATGGAAGAATCTGGCCCAAAGTTTGACTGCTGCAAAGTTCAAGGGCTCAGATTGAGGCATCTTGGGTCAAACTTTCTAAAAGGTCATGGCCAAAGGCTCAGATATTCCAGAACACACCATTCCCACCAGGCTAAGACTGCAACCCCAATGGCAGCTCACAGCCACTGCAAAGCCCAGCCCAGGAGTCAGGGCCTGTCAGACAGGTTTGGGTTGGAAGGGACCTTAAACCCCATCCAGTTCCAACCCCTGCCACAGGCAGGGACACCTTCCACTAGAGCAGCTTGCTCCAAGCCCCATCCAACCTGGCCTTGAACACTGCCAGGGATGGGGCAGCCACAACTAACCTTCAGGTTTCTAACCTTCGGGATGACAGTTACCCAGATAGCCTTCAAATAGCAATGTTCCCCATGGAGAAAATAAACCCATGGTACAAAACCAGACCTTGCATGGATCTGAATGCAGTTTATGAGGAAATGCAGAGTGGGCGATGGAGTAAAGCAGTGAAAACTGGGGATTCCACCCAGCACACACAAATGACAGAACAACACTGAATGTTCAAGGCTAGAAAGAAATAGAAAGTTATCATAGATCAAAATTGAACCCAAAAATGGAATGCAGAGTCAGAATTCAGGTTATGTGAGTGCTGGCAAGTCCCTGTTCCTCTGGAGCTGTACGATGCTGAGCCTCGTACCCATGTGGTACTCCCCTTCCTGGCTTCTTCCCAAGTTTACCAGGTTCTTCTTCATTTCTGCTGGTTCCTCTCCCACTGCTACCTCCAACCATCACAGGAACTCCTGGGGTTGATAGAGTTTTATTTCTATACCAACAAGCAGCATTTGCTTGTGATTTCTGTGGGTTTAATGTGTAAGTGTTTGTTCTTGTGTAGTGTCTCTTAGATTGGGTTGTACTCAGCAGTCTTGGTAAAAGGATAAAAAAATTCTTTATGTGGGAATTTTCTATGTTTAGAGAAACCCAAACAGTGCTATACATGAAAGACAGGCTGAGAGGAGTGCTGGCTGGCTTGGCTGGAGGCCTCCGCTCTCACTTCCTATTCTGCTTTTCTTCTTTACCATCCTCCAGCATCACATTGCCTGTTCTCTTGTTCCTGCCTCCGTCTCATCCCTTTTCTCTCTGTTTTTCTGGTTTTCCTAGCACCAGTTTTGGCCTGAGCTGGTGGCTGAGGGCAGAGAGGAGAAGGTAAATATCAGCCTTGTTCTGGAATCAAAGAGTGTTCTTCTGAAACTCAGAGAGCAAACAAAAGCTCTGGATCCTTCCTCCTCGCTCTGCTACCACGATGCTGTATCACTCATGCTGTATCACTGCTGAGGGCAGGCAGGGGAAGGAGGACTGAAGAGGGACCATCCAAAATCCCAGGCACTGTCCCATGGGAGCTGCATTTCCCAGAGCCCAGCGTGCTCTTACAGCAGGCAGGCAGGATTTGGCAGCTCCTGTGCCCCAGATGCAATAGGGGTGCCTGGGCATGATTTCTTCTCTTCTTCCATTGCACCGAGGCGCACAAACCCATTGTACCCAAAGATACACAAACTCACTGTATCCATAGGATTGTATTTGTGTCCATGCTGTAGGGAAATGCGTGCCAAGGAGCTGGGAGCCCCTGTGTACCCGACTGTCCCTCCTTCCTTTCCTGAACATCCAGGAGCCTGCCCAGCCATCACTCATCCACCACCGTGTGCTGCAATCAGAGCAAGGGAAGAGAGAGCCTTGCAGACAGCATGAGGCAAACAGCAAAACACGCAATCTAGCCAGGGAAAGCTGATACAAAGCAGAGCCCTTGGGAGAGCTGAGCAGAGTGGGAGGTGCAGGTCCCTGCGCCAGCTGTGCCTGGATGGATGAGAGAGGAATGGTCTCCAGATGTCCCCATACCACGTTTATTACGTTTGTTCTTAGATCCCCAGCCACCCTCAAGAGCCTGGCTGCATGAAGACTGCTGTATTACAGCCAAGAGTCTTCGTGCTGTGGCATCTATTGGTCGTAAAAGCGAGGCTATGGCAGGGTCTGCTTAAGGCTGGAAGCCACCAACCTCATGGATGGCTCAGCCAAATCACTTCCCCAGCCTGTACATTGGTCTCCCCACCAGTAAAAAGGAGACATAAATCTGCCTTTCTTTTAAAACACCAATGGAAAACACCTTGTCTGTGTAAACATTCCCATATCCTGAGTGGGAAAAACAAATGCTCCCTTCTTTTCCCAGGGCAAGCACCAAAAGCAGGGGCTGTGTGTGCCTGGAGAAGGCCAGAGTGGGCAATGGTGACATCCCCAGCGTGGCACTGGAAGCAGAGCAGCACCCTTTACATAAAGCTGCATCCTACTTAGAGGAGGCAAAATCTGGCAGGGAAATACAGGCACTACACAAGCAGACACAACGTTTGGAATACGGCCATTTTTGAGCAGCTATCAAAACTGTCAGAAAACAAGGGAAGAGTTAAATATAAGACATGAATGAAAGTCCAGAGGAAGAGAGAAAACAGAAGGAGATGTGAGGGAAACTGAGAGCCAGACGTCAGCTGTCAGAGTTGATTCCTTTGCAATGTGAAATGCAATTGCATACCCAAATGGAGACTGGGTAAGGTAGCAAGGTCCAGTGCTGGAGCTGAAGGGCCCCTGGGCCCGTTTGTTCCCATGGCACTTTGCCACAGTTTTTGTGACACTTGTGAACTTAATTCCCAAAATCCCTGCCTCATTCCATGCATAGGGAGTGCTCCTCTAGGAGAAACTAAGGAGAGGGAGCTGTTCTTTATGTGAGGGAGCAGCAAGAATGCATGGAGCTCTGCCCTGGGACATAGAACAAAGCCACTCCAGAATATCTGGGTTGGAAGGCAAACTGCCGTGGGTGATGCAGTTGTGGGTGTCTGCTGCAGAGCACTTGATCAGGAAGCAGAAGATGAGGCCAGAAAATTCTATTTAAACACAAGAAAAAGGCAGTTTACCGTGAGAGTGGTTGAACACAGGAGCAGGCTGTAGAGTCTCCATCACTGGAGCTACTCAAACCCCAGCTGGATATGGCCCTGACCAATGCGTTCTTGACTGTGTTTTGAGCAGGGGGTTGAATAGGACACCTTGCCCTGCCTTCCAACCTCAGCAATCCTGTGGATGCTTGTTGATTCAAGTACTTCACTTAACATCTCCAGATGTGCAAATAAAGGGCTGTCAGCTCCTCTATGATGCGGGAAAAGCCATAGTCTGCTGATGGTGTTTTCAGCTCCATTCCTCCAGCTCTGCCAATACATATCCGTGGCATGCAGGATCCCAACTCCAGCCTCCCCTGAGGGATGCTCACAGGTCCTGCGACCAGCACAGCCCACGCTGTGCACACACAGAGATTCCATCCCGACTACTCCTCCTGCCGCAGAGGAGCCTCCCTGCGACACTGCTCTCAGAGCTGCTCTGCACATGTGCAACCAGCAGCAGCGTTTCTAAAGGATCTTTGCAAGGTTTTAGGCTGCCGTCAGCTGAGCGACTCTGGAAGTGTTTTGTTTCCCTCTTCCTGTTCCAGAGCCCATTTGTCTGCATTGAAAATACCCCAAAACACCCCTATAGGGTTTCAGCCCGGCTGTCGTATGAGCAAGTGTGTTCATAAAACAGCAAACATGTTGAACTGAATCACAGTGCATGAGAAGGGCAAGGGCCTGGCTCTCAGAAAGGCAGGTCAGATGAGAAATAGGGGCAAGGAGGGAAAGGGACTCAGATGCCTCCCTATTGCACTGCAGTGCAGGGACTGCGGGGCTGAAGCAGAGGTGAGCCCCAGGGAGCTGCTCTGCAGTGCAGGGAGGGCTGGGGGAGCAGCCCTGGTCCTCAGCAGGGATTGGGCTGACTAATGCTCCGGCTGACACAGCAAACACAGTGTGAATGGAAGTGAAGACAAACAACAGCAAGCCTGCTCAGATGTGCCAGACCTCCAGGCCAGGAGAAGAGGAAATGTATAGGTAATTAAGGCCTATAAAAGAGCACCTAAAAAGCCAGATCCATCTTAAGTGAGGGCAAAGGGGGTTACCTGCAGTCATTAACGGGAATACTGATGAGAAACCCAGGGAACTTTGGCCTTTTTTGATCTCACTTCTGCTAATACAGGAGCTTTGATCATGACGTGTAAACGAGATCTGCTTACCTGTCATCCCTGAGCACAATGGTGATGTACGTCGACAACAAAGCAGCGACACAGCAATGTTTTACACACAGGGAAACCGAGGCACGGCAAGAGGCAGTGGTGCTGCTACGAACATGGGTCTTTCTCCATCTCCTCTGAACAAGCCCATCTGCAAGGTCATGGTGCAGCTTCCTTACACCCAATTTCTTCCTCTCTCACCGAGGTACTGGCCAGATAACAAAGAGGATGGCACCATGACTGCCAGCCAACTCTAACACCTCTGCTCTAAGCAGGAAGAAAGGACTGCTTTGCCTTTTTTGGTTGAATTCTATCCTGAATCAGGAGCTGAGTCAAACACTAGAAGATTGGGATGTTCATTTTGCAGTGAAACGGGGTAGATTTTGCAATGTTGAAGGCAGTGCACAAAGTCACAGTGAACATAACTGCTTGTTGAGAGTGGGATTAATGAGGTGGTGTTCATTAAAGTGTTTGAAAGTATTAATTGCCCTTAAAAGCTAAGTGTTGTTCGTACTCCCTCTGCTTTTCTTGGCAATGTTTTTTGTGCTTGGCCTCTTGTAACTAATTCCTATGATGCTCACAGCTCAGGAGGACACCTAAAGCTTGATGCAGATTTTTCCCCCCATCAGCTAATGTGGGATGCCCACAGCTGCCTCTTTGGCACCCAATGATGGCCAGTGCCAGCATCATGTTACTGGGCTCTCCATAGTCAGAAACCAAAGTGGGTTTTGAACATTGAGGAGCTTCTTTAGTGCTCTTCCTCACAGCAAGACCAGCGGCAGGCTCACCCCATGGGGGAGAGAAGCCCACAGCTTCCTCCTGCCTGGGGAGGAGGGGGCTTGTCTGCACATCAGGCTGAGGTTGATGGATGCAGCACAGAGGAGCTGGTGTTGCCCTTTGAAAGGGCCCTTCTGCAGAAGGCAGCAGGATTAAAAGCAGCTCCATTTTCATGGCCCCAGGCTGCTCTCCAGTACATCCCTGTGCCTGCGTGTCTGGCAGGCAATTTTCACCACAGATGCATTAACAGGCAGAGAGCTGCTAACACTGCACTTGGAAAAACCACCTCTGGATAAACAAAGGGCATCCAGGAGCCTTCCCTCCTGCCCAGGAGGGGTGTGATGGGCGCAGGGCTTGCACTGACCTCCAGACTCAGCCCTCGACATCATAGCATGGATCCCCTTGGGCAGCGCTGCCCTCCAGCCCCTGGTTCAACCTGCAGATAAAAGCACCCAGTGTGAACGCACCCCAGAGGGGAAACTGAGGCAGAAGTGACTTGCCCAGGGTGAGGCAGGAGGTAGGAAATGCCTTGAGCCTCACATCAGGTTTTGTCCACTTGATTTCGTTTCTTCCTTTCTGGCACAGCTCCCTTAAAATGTGACGTCTGACTCAGCATTAGCCACTCTCACCTTGCTCTGCCCTCTTCAGCACTGCATTAGTGCTATCTTTCCTGACAGGCAAGGGGGAAAGACATCAGGAAGCCCTGGAAAAGAGGGAACACGATAAGCAAATCCTGGTCATTAAGATGTGAGGTTTGCTTCGTTTTCTTTCTCTCTCAATCTGGAGGGATTAGCACCAGGCAGATAAGAGACCTGCCAAGGCACTTCCAGCAGATTTGCTCAGCCTGGCCTCAAGTTAGCTCCCAGCCAAGAGGACTCCTGAAAGCACGGGCATCTCTCTGCAGCACCTTCAAAACAGAAAAGGAGAGAGTCAGGGAGGAAGCTGCTCTGGAAGCTTTCCTTGCACAAAGAACGTCTTTCCATCAGAACGCTGCCTGGCCCTGACAACCATGTCCCCATCTTACCTGGGAGCGCTGCCAGCGGGTTGATGCTCGTACAACTTCAAAGCCTGCCAGGCTTCCACCAAGCACAGAGAAGGGGCCAGCATGGTCCCTGCTCCAGGCACCCCTCTCGCACTGTGCTGTGGGTCAGGATGGCTCAGGACAGTCGCACTCTCCTGGGGTGCAGATGTGGAGCAAGCGCAACCCTGAGCACCAAGAGCGCTGTTTGGGCTCCCAGAACATGCACATTTTGTCCTTAGCTAATATAAGAGGACTCTTCCCAAGGATGCTGCCCTTGGCTCTCTGGGCTCGTGTCAGCCTTCCTAGCGTGGTGAATGGGGAACGGTTTGCTCTGATGAGGGGCTCCAGCAGGGACCAGTGTAAAGGGCTGTTGAACCACAGCCCCTCACCACAGCTCTGGGCAGGGATATGGGTTTCACACTGATCGGGGTGATCAGCCACAGGGGAAAGCAGTGAGGCCGTGCCTTGCACAAGGCCTGGGTACACAGGAGCAGACAGGCTCCATGCAGAGTGCTGCACACACAGGGTCCTTGCTTTGCTCTGGAGCACTTGTGACATGAACCCCACCTCTCAGGGGAGGCCCAGAGACACTTTCCACATGCATTTCACCTCTGCGAGAGCCCAACCTGACTCCTCATTGAACCTCCCAGCATGGAGACCTTTGCCAGGGAGGATGTGTGTGACAGAGAACTCTGCTGCTGCTCCACTGGCAGCATAACTCCTCACACTGCACCCCAGGATCTGCTGCACTTCAGTGCTGCCAGGGCTGAGGGGCACAAGAAAAGCTGGCACAGGCTCCGCTGGTTTTCATTTATTTCTCCTGCAGAAAGGAAAACATTTCTGTCTTCTATTCCAAATCAGGGAAGTTTAAACCATGATGATGTTTCCTTTACTCTTTTCAAAGCCCCAAGGTAAAAGAATAAGAATCATATCCATATTTTCAAACCAAAACCCATTTTGGAAGTTTTCTATTTCAACAAAGTCGGTACATTTCCTTCCAACGCTTCACAATGTTGCATTATCTCCTTCACAATAGGAAACACATTCTTGGAATAAAAAGGTGTTTTAAAGGAAGGATTTTATAAGAACTTCTCTTTTCAAAACCAGGAGTCCCCGACATTGACAATTTAGATAAAAAGTCTGATTTCAGTGAAACAGCTCCAGAGAAGTGTCTTGGAGGAAAACAGTCTATTGAGCAAGCTGGGTTATCTCAGATCATTTGGACCCCCTGAGAGGTTAGATAGGAGGGGGCTGCACTTTGCTTTATGCAGTTGTGGGGTGCAAATGTGGGTGGGCAAAGGAGGTTACAGCCACAGAGGTGGCTGCACTGCGTGTTGCTGGCCCAGAGATGCTCTCTGGCACCCACAGCTGATCCTTCCCCTGGTGCAGTGGCACATCCAGCAGTCAGCAGCTGATGCCTTCACTTCTCTGATCATTCATTAACTTACCCTCACATCACGGTCCTTCCAGAAGAACCATTCCTCTCTCTGTACAGCACTCGAGGGGTCGTGCAGTCTTAGTGCAGTACAATGAACACCAGTGAGAAGGGCCTCCATCCCCAAGGAGGAACAGTGAGAAGAGGTGGCTGGGGCAGAGGTGCAGTAGAGCTGGCCAGCAGCAGCCACAGGAGGCAATGAGCTCTGTGCAGCGGCAGGGGATGAACGATCGAGCGCATATTTGGAGGCTATCAGCTTGCACATATAATAAAGCCAATTAGATGCATGTGACAGATTGTAAACCTCTCGTGTGCTGTTTAAAATACCCCATATTTTCAGCTTGTCTGCCTTTAGAGCTTCTCAATAACACAGTTTTACTCTGGCTGAGAAATCAGAGGCATCCCGCCCCCGCCACACAAAGCCTGACATTTCCAATCACATCATCCTCCTTTTCATTTTTAACACAAAATAAAAACCCGTCCCCAAAACACATCTCAACATGACTTGTCATCTGCGAGTCGAGCCAGATATGGTTTCATCCACAAGCACTGGAGTTGCTCAAATGGTGTTATGCCTTATAAATAGCACACCTCCACCGCTATTGCAGCACACATGGATCGAGATACTGCCCTATATGAGCTCCCAAAGCTGATGGTACATTCACAAACCAGCTCTGGAAAAGACAGTGTCAATTTCTGCTGTGTCTTCACTCACAGCGGCAGTGATCCTTTGCAAGCTCCAGCCTGTGGCTGTGGGTATGTACTGGCTTATCATAAGGGCTGGTTTGCTGCTGGAGCGAGGGCAGAGGTTCAGGGAGCCCCTCTGTGAGGGGGATGCAGCACAAGGGAGCAGGCAGATGGTCGGGAGTTGCCATGAGAAGATGCTGAGCGTGAGGAGTCAGCTCTCCTGGCAGATAGAGGGCAGGGTGGTTGAAGCGGTCCTGGCTGTGGGCAGGGGGGAGACAGGAGGCAGCACCTCTCTACCACATCCCCATCCCCACCACAACCAGCACCCAGAGGAGTGAGAGGACACCAGGATGCAAAAGCCCCAGGAGGGGAAGCCCTGCACCAATGACTGGTGCTTCTCTCACCAGCATCAGGGAACAGGCAGGTTTGCTTCTCTTCATTTTACATTCAGCTGCTGGTTATCATGATAAGGACTCAGCTTTTACAGTCATTAGAGGAGATACATTAAGTGGCGAAGGAAGGGGCCCCGCAGCAGCATGAGTGTTCTGCTGGCCAGACGCTGACTGCAGGCAGCGACGCAGGTAAGCGCTGGCCTTTTAAAACATAAAGGAACAGGAAATTTCTATGGCTCCTTGCAAACCCCCACACAAAACCACAGCTCCAGAGTGTCTTAAAGGCTTAGAGACAGGAGAAAAGAGAAAACCAGCCTGACACTGTGATCCCTTCCTAAATGTTACGATTTTTGAGCCAATTACATTTTTACCCTTTTTCCTGCCGTCTGACTCAGAATTTGAGAAAATTTAATGCTGGCATTACTGGAGGAGAAGTACGATGTGAAGATAATTTTAGTTTCCAAAAAGCCTGCTTCAAATGGCTCTGATTTTTCTTTCAGCAAGTGCGAAAAGCCGGACTGACACCTTTTGTTGAATAATGCATCTCGGATAGCATCCTCTGCTGCAGGGAGAGGTCTGGCACACAGCCCTGCCCCGCTTACACCCTGCTCAAGTGCTATTTAGTGGCTTCCAGGGGATTACTAACAGGGAGTGGGTTTTGTCCTGGCTCCCTGCACAGCGAGAGATGTCATTATTCTCCAGGAGAGCCCGTCCACAGATGGATCCTTGTGTTATTACATGCAAATAATCTCCATCTGAAAGTACCTGCCGCTCATAACATCGAGTCTAACGTTGAACTGACAATTGTGTCCATTATCTGATAAACCTTAAAGAGAAGAAAAAGCCAGAGGGAGGATGGCTTGGCTGGTTTGTCATGGACACATCCCTGCCTAGCCTCAGCTGCAGCTCTATGGGGTCACGTGCTGAGGGGCTGCCCGTATGTCAGCCAAGACCCCCGTATCCCCATGGCAAGAGCGACCATCGGCACCTTGTCCTCATGCTGTACCAGCCCCTATGGGATGCCGGGCTGGCGGTGGCTCTGCCCTCCCCATCATGACATCTGCCTCATGGCAAGCTCCCCTGAAAGGATATTAAATATGTCATTATTTTGCATCTTCCAAAGAATCAGCCCCAAAGCCTCCTGGCTTAGCACTGCTCATGCAGTGAGCCAACCAATACACGCACGACACCTTGTATTTTGTGTTCTGCCTAACAGTGCTGACAGCGCTCCTTAGGGGAAGTGTTCAGTTAATCCCAGCAGCCACTCAGGGAGGGCAGGTGTAGCAGGAGAGTTGTACCCATGCTGGTGAGTGAAGCAGCTCCCCTCGTCCAGCTGCCTTGTGAAAAGCCAAACCTGGCTCCCACCATCAGCCATGCCAGTGAGGAAGTGAGATCAGCTGTGGGCAGAGCTGGGCATGTGCGCCAGGGATGTCTGAAATGCTGCTAGGGCTCACCTCAGGCACTCTCTCCAGCTCCCACGGAGGATGTGGGCACTCTCTGCTATCTTTTCCCACCAACCACTATGGGATACTGCTACAAACCACTACATGGGTGCACATACATATGCTGCAATTGAACTGACTGCAGTGGATAAAGCATGCAAATTACGGACAGGAGAGGCAGGTCACAGGGTACAAATGATGGCTGCAGGGAGCAGAGCCAGCAAAATGAAGCACAGTGAAGCAGGGGGCCCTGCACATGGCCTTTGGTCCTTTCCAACCCAAATCATTCTATGGGTCTATAAATCAGAATACCCAGGCTGTGCTGCCTAGAGAGGTGCTTCTCAGAGGAGCCAGTCCCACCCTTTTCCTTCCATCCCTCCCTGGAAGCTCAACAAGAGAAGAAACAAGATAGTGCTCAGCACAGCTCTGCCATGGTGCCTTGCTGCCTGCACCCACTGCATGGAGTTGGTGCTCTCCTCCCCAGTGTATCAGCTTGGCTGCATTAGCACAACCAAGAATGGGGACTCTTTCATTCCTCAATTGAAATGAATACTTCACTTGAATCTGCCTCCTTACAGGACACAGGGGACCTGGCTGCCTCTGACTTGCAAAGGACAGAGCAGCTACATGTGTCTTGGTGTGATGGATTTAAGTGCCAGGCCTGTACTCATTCCTTTCACAACCATGTGGATGCTGCTGTCACTTACAGAATAACAAGTGGCTTTGGAAGCAATTGGATTTCACAGCATATCTTCTCTGTCCTAGGGAGCTGCCTATTACCAGCATGGGCTCCTGCACAGGTCTCCATCCTCAGCTGTGCTGGCACTAACTGCACAATGCAACCCATGCACAAACACCTTGGGACAGGAGCTCAATAGCTGGCACATGGCCACAGATGGGAGTAAGGGACAGGGCTTGCCGGAGACAGATGCCTCAGCCCCATAGGAAGGTGCCAGGGAATACCTGAGAGTCAAATACTGGCATCATAAAAAAGGGAAAGGGAGCAAACCCATACCTCGGTGAAACTTCTGCAAGTTACCTCAACCCTTGAGGGCAAGCGAATGGTTACAGCGAGGACAAAATGGGAGTGCAATAGGGAGCATCTCTGGGCCACCTCCACAGGTCCTGCATCTCACCAGGCAGGGCAGCCCCTCCAGCACATAAATGCCTCAGCCCTTATTTTCTACTGAGGACAAAAGCCATCAACAAAGTCCTTATTAAAAAACAACTATGAAGCAAAAAGCACAGCTAATTGCTTTCTGACTGCTGAACAAAAGCCACTCCTCTGCCTAATTACACTGTGAAAATGAGAAGAATTTAAACAGGAATTATAAGTAATCACACAGGCAA